TATGTTACAACTGTTATGTTACAGTTATGTTACAACTGTTATGTTACGTATGTGCAGGGGCCTAGGTCCAGCCTGTGCTCACTCTGTGGCTGGTGGGTCAGTCTCTGGGAGTCCTCAAGGGTCCAGGTTAGTTGACTCTGCTGGTCTTCCAGTGGAACCTCTGTCCTCCTCCGGTCCCTCAGTGCCCCCCAGCCCATCCCTTCTCCTGCATATGATTTCTCAAATTTCATCTAATGTTTGGTTGTGCATCTCTGCATCTCCTTCCATCGGCTGCTGGGTGGAGCCTCTCAGAAGACAGTTATGCTAGGCTCCTGACTGCAAGCATAGCAGAGTATCATTAATAGTGTCGGGGGTTGCTTCTTGCCCATATGATGGCTCTCAATTTGAGGCAGTCTTTGTTTGGCCACTCCCGCCATCCCTGCTCTATCGTTGTCCCTGCACATCTTGTAGGTAGGACACAAACCTTTGGGTCAAAGGTTATATGGATGGGTTGCTGTCCTTATCTCTTCACTGAGCGTCCTGCCTGGCTGCAGGAAGTGGCCCCTTCGGTATCCATGCCCTCCATTGCTAGGACTCTTAGGGAAGTTGCTCCCATAGACTCCTGGGACCTCCCCTACCCCAGGTCTCTGGCAAGTCCCTCCCCTACCACCACCAATTTCTATTCTCTCTCCCCTGCTCTCCCTACATCTGACCTCCTCCCTCCCCACCCTCTCTCCCATACAGTTCCCTCCATCTGCCTCCAATATCTATTTTATTTCTCCTTCTGAAAAAGATTCAAAAATCCTCCCTTAGGCCCTCTTTGTTATTTGGCTTCTTTGGGTTGATTATGGCATGGTTATCTTGTACTTTATGGATAATGTTCTCTTATAAGTGAGTTTGTACCACACATGTCCTTTTGGGTGTGGATTATCCCACTCAGGATGATATTTTCTGGTTCCATCCATTTCCCTGCAAAATTTATGATGCCCTTGTTTTTAATAGCTGAGTAGTATTCCATTGTGTAAATGAACCACATTTTCTTTATTCATTCTTCAGTTGAGGGACATCTAGGTTGTGTCCAGTTTCTGGCCATTAGGAATAAAGCTGCTATGAACATAGTTGGACAAGTGTTCTTGTGGTAATATGGTACATCTTTTGGGTGTATGCCCAGGAGTGGTATAGCTGGGTCTTGAGGCACAACTTTTTCTAATTTTCCAAGAAACTGCCAAATTGATTCCCAGAGTGGTTGTACAAGTTTACACTCCCTCTAACAGTGGAGCAGTGTTCCCCTTGCTCCACAACTTTGCCACCTTATGCTGTCCCTTGAGTTTCTGATCTTAGCCATTCTGATGGGTGTAAAGTGGACTCTCAGAGTTGTTTTGATTTGCATTTCTCTGATGCCTTAAGGATGTTGAACATTTCTTTAGGTGCTTCTCTGCCATTTGAGAGTCCTCTGTTGAAAATTCTCTGTTTAGTTCTGTATCCCATTTTTTAATTGGGTTATTTGGCTTGTTGGTACCTAACTTCTTGAGTTCTTTATATATTTTGGATATTAGCCCTCTGTCAGATGTAGTATTGGTGAAGATCTTTTCCTTATCTGTAGGGTGTCTGTTTTTCTACTGATGGTGTCCTTTGACTTACAGAAGCTTTTCAGTTTCATGAGGTCCCATTTATTAATTTTTGATCTTTGGGCCTGTGTCATTGGTGTTCTCTTCAGGAAGTTGTCTCCTGTACCAATATTTTGAAGGCTGTTCCCCACTCTCTATTCTATTAGATTTAGTGTATCTGGTTTTATGTTGAGGTCTTTGATCCATTTGGACTTGAGTTTTATGCAGGGTGATAAATATGGGTCTATTTTCATTCTTCTACATGCAGACATCCAGTTAGACCAGCACCATTTGTTGACGATGCTCTTCCTTTTCCATTGTATGGTTTTGGCTTCTTTGTCAAAAATCAAGTGTCCATAGGTGTGTGAGTTTATTTCTGAGTCTTTAATTCAATTCCATTGATCAACCTGTCTGTTTCTATATCAATACCATGAAGTTTTTATGACTATTGGTAATAGAAAATTTTGCTGGGAATAGCATCTGTGGTCTCTCAGTCTGGGTAAAGTATCTGCCCATTCCCTTCTGACTTTTCAAGCTTCCAAGAGGAAGCCATGTATTATTACAATAGGTTGCCTTTATTCTTGGTCTGTGTCGATTGCAGCTTTTCATATTCTTTCTTTGTCCTGTATGTTTACTGTTTTGGCTATTATGTGCTGACGGGACCTTCGTTTGTTCAGTCTACTGGTGTCCGGCATGGTTCTTGTACCTTAATAGGCATGTTATTCTTTAGGGGAATTTTCTGTGATTTTGCTGAAAATATTTCCTTTGTCCTTTGAGTTTCTTCTCCTTCCTCTTGTCTTATCCCTGGCGTTGTCTTCCGTGTGTACCTGATTGTGACGCGCCGCCTCGCCGATAAGGAGAACACGCCACACTTCAGGATTCTTCTGACAGCAGTTTACTTGTTACAGCTCTTTTAGATGGTGTTACAGCTCTCTTAGATGGTAGTGGCGAAGGACCCAGAGCCCCAGAACCCACGGCTTATATAGAGTCCTGGGAGAACTTACTGCATGCTCATTGGCTCCTTAAGTGATGCCTAATTAGCATACTAGTTTTTCATTGGCTCTTGGAGTGAGGCTTAATTAGCATAGTAATTTTTACTCTTTGCGCATGCGCACATTTGGCTTGGCTCTGACTGAAGCCAGAGTGCGGGAAGCCGGCGCGCCCTGCGCAGGCGCACTTCCATTCATGGCTCTGTCAGAGCCGAGAAGCAGGGAGCCGGCGCACCTTGCTCGGGCGCACTTTACTTCACGGCTCCCTCACAGTGCCGAGAGGCAGGGAGCCAGCACGCCTTGTTCGGGTGCATTTTACCTCACGGCTCCCTCACTGAGCCGCGCCATTGAATGCGGCTTCCTGATGGAGCCGCACCATTGACAAATGGCGAATGCGGCTCCCAACACCTGATCTCCTGGGTAACTTGTATTTTCCTCCTTCCTCCTGTCTTATCCCTGGCATTGTCTTCCATGTGTACCTGATCTCCTGGGTGACTTAGGTTCTCCTCCTTCCTCCTGTCTTATCCCTGGCGTTGTCTTCCGTGTGTACCTGATCTCCTGGGTGACTTGGGTAGAGCTTTTTTCTTTTTTTAGATTTGCATGAAGTCTTCATTTCTTCTATTGTGTCTGCTATGTCCCAGATTCTCTCTACTGTCTCTCTCTTCTCTTTTTTAAAAGATTTACTTTATTTATATGAGTACAGTGTAGCTGTCTTCAGACACACCAGAAGAGGGCATCAGACCCCATTACAGATGGTTGTGAGCCACCATGTGGTTGCTGGGAATTGAACTCAGGACCTCTGGAAGAGCAGTCAGTGCTCTTAACCGCTGAGCCGTCCCTCCAGCCCCTCTCTCATATTGTGTTGCTGAGGCTTGCCTCTGACGTTCCAGTTTGAGTTCCTACGTTTTTCAATTAAAGACGTATGTCAGTTTCGGTTTTCTTTATTGATTCCAATTATGCTTTCAGGTCTCGAGATGTTTCATTCATTTCTGTCCCCAACTTGTGTTTTCATAGATTCCATGACGGGATTCCTTCCCCTTTAATCTTCTCTCATATGTATGAAAGCTGTATTAATGTTTTGGCTTCAGCTATGTTGCAGTACTCAGGGCCTGCGGGGGTAGGGTTGCTTGGCTCCAGTGTGCACACACTGCCCTAACTTTGACTGTGTTTTCATTTACGCATGTGCTGTTGGGAAGACTGTAATTCTAAGTGCCGAAGTCTGGTTTTGTCTTTGTTGGATATAGTGAGTTTTTCCCCCCTCAGGATTTGGTTCAGAAACTTTTACCAAAGGTTGTTGGTTAGGATAAAGGGGCAAGTTGTGGGTACCTTTGGCAGGCTTGTGCCAAGGTATGTGGCTAAGAAATTATGCCACACACCTGATCTAGTGTAAGAGGTTCATTGGGGGTTGGGGTTATAGTGTATTTAGCATGTGCTCCTGTCCCTTTAAAGGATTCCCATTTGCTAGTCACCTGGCCTTTTAAGAACTCTTAGCTGTTAGACTGCTTGACCCTGTGACCTTCAGTGCAGGATCTAAAGCAGAGGCTGAGGAAGGAGATTGAGCAGAGTGAGAGGAGAAGGCAGTTGGGACAGAAGATATTGTTAGGAGACAGTAGAGTCAGGAGAAGCTGAGTTGTGCAGAGAGGCTAGAACACTTGTTACAGTTTGGAGCTGCTGGCATTGGGAAAACTGGGAGAGGGACTGTTTAAGCACACTGTTGGGGAACTGAGGGAGGAATGATTGGGAGAAACTTTTGAAGGGATTGGGCTGGAAACTGAGAGGAATGGGTGGGAAAGAAGTTAGATTAAGAGATCATTCTGTGTCCCCCCTCTATCCTTATTTCCCACTTATCTAGTGTTAAGGGGTGATACTTGCGGGGGGCATAAAGGGTAGGAAAAAGAAGAACCTACAAAGTAGCAATGACCAGCTACATGAGGGAAATTGAAAGGCTGTCTCAAGTGGGGATATCGGGGGTGGTGGAGAAACAAGGGATAGAGAAAATGAACAAGACAGATGGAGAGAAAAACAGAATGGGAGAGCAAGCTGGGGTGGCTGGGGCTTTTTATGGGCCACACCTGGCATACCTGGTGGCTGTGCATGATGACATAAGTTGCTGCTGCTAGGTCCCCAAGGACAGGTTGACGGAAATGTCTGATTGCTGTGTATTTCAAATAGTATGCAAATAAACACATTTAATTTCAGCACAGTTATAATTGGTTAAGCAGATCTGTAGACAGACTTTTGGCTACTGTTTGGGTTTCTTTTTCTATAATCCTTTTCCACCATTATTCCATCCTTCCAATTGCCAAACACTAGGAGAGAAAGAAGGCTAGAGGGTTTGAAAGGGAGTGTTAATATCCTTAGACATCAGATAGCCTGTTGATTGGGGGCTTCGAGTATCTTGTAGCAAGTTTAATCTTGGCTGCCAGGATATCCAGGATATTTTTCTCTCTTTGTGTGCAACCACTTGACAGACCACAAGATCAGCAGGAGCAGCACCTTCCTCAGCACCTCTGGGTGCTCGAGCATTCATATACCCTCTCAAGATTCCCCAGAATTTTAAGCGCCATAGACTTGCAAAAACTATCTATAGCTGACAGATTCAAGCTCCTACCATAGCACAAGGCAAAACATAGTCTGTTGCTGTGGACAATCTGAAGTAGCCCCATATCCTACGCCTGGGATTAAAAACATATGCTGGGGGTAGTGGCATATATGTTTAATCCTAGCCGTTGGGAGACAGAGTCAGGTGGATCTCTTGTGAGTTTGAGGCTAGCCTGATCTACAAAGCAACTTCCCAACAACTGGGGCTGTTACAAAGGAAACAAACAGACAAAAACATATTCCCATAACATTTCTGTGGTTTTAAAGAAATCAGAATTCCCACTACAGACATGTCTTCCAATGTCCAACCTATTCTACTATAAAGTGTCTTGTCGTACATAAGCTTTGCTCACTGCTGTTCTCCTTGTTCCTGTTGAGCTTCTCAGACATCCCTTTAGAGCCTGGCCATTCATGTAATGGATTTTATATTAGGAAAATGTGTGTATGTGTGTTACTGGGAAATAACGTATTCTTGTTTTCTCCTTTTCTTTCAGATTTGGAGGCAGATTATGATGCTGGAACTATATCCCCAGAAAGTCCTGTTAATAATAGAGCATCTCCCAAACAGAGCATAAAACAATTAAGTAGAACTTTTGACCTCAAAGGCTCCAGGTTTAGTAATGGCCCCAACTATAGTACATTCAATGGACTACAGGGTTATCCAGAAGGAGATGCTAGTCAACAGATTACTAACAAGGAAGAAATGCCTGCTTATACCATCCAGACTCTTGCTCACAACATAGAAAAGACATATGAATGTAAAGAGTGTGGGAAGTGCTTTGGTTGTAGGTCAACACTTACTCAACATCAGAGTATTCATACTGGAGAGAAGCCCTATGAATGTAAGGAATGTGGGAAGGCCTTCAGACTCCCCCAACATCTTACAAGACATCAGAAGTCTCACAGTGCTGAGAGACCTTTCAAATGTAATGAACAACATCCCAACCTGCTGAAGTACCATAAAACCATTCATACAGGTGCAAAACCATTTGAATGCAGGGAATGTGGGAAATCCTTCAACCGTGTCTCCAGCCTTGTTGAACATAGGATTATTCATGCAGATGTAAAACCGTATGAATGTAGTGAGTGTGGAAAAGCTTTTAAACGACACAGAAGTTTTGTGCGCCATCAGAAAATTCATTCTGGTGAGAGACCTTTTCAGTGTAAGGATTGTGGGAAAGGCTTCATTGTTCTGGCTCACCTCACTAGGCACCAGAGCAGTCATAGTGAAGAGAAGCCATTTGAGTGTGAGGAATGTGGCAAGAAATTCAGAACTGCCAGACACCTTGTTAAACACCAGCGCATTCATACCGGTGAGAAACCCTTTGAATGTAATGTGTGTGGGAGTGCTTTCCGGCTTCAACTCTACCTTTCTGAGCATGAGAAGACACACATGGAAGAGAAATACTTGGAGTGCAATGTATGTGGCAAGGCTTTTCGGCTTCAGGTATACCTTTCTGAGCATCAGAAAACTCACACTGAAGAGAATCCTTTCAAGTGTAAGCTCTGTGGGTCAGCCTTCCCAAATAAATATCAACTTAATAAACATCTCACAATTCATACTGATGGGAAACCCTATCAGTGTAAGGAATGTGGGAAATGCTTTCGTCAAAGGTCAAAATTAACTGAACATGAGAGTATTCACACTGGGAAGAAACCCTTCCAGTGTGAAGAATGTGGGAAATTCTTTAGGCTTAATACACTTCTCATTCATCATCAGAAATCTCACAGTGGTGAGAGACCTTTTGAGTGTAAAGAATGTGGAAAGGCTTTCCTTCTTCCCAGTCAACTTAATAGCCATAAAATTGTTCATACAAGTAAAAGACCCTTTGAATGCAAGGAATGTGGAAAATCCTTCAAGCGTGAATCCAACCTCATTCAACATGGCGCTGTTCATGCTGGTGTGAAATCATATGAATGCAATGAGTGTGGGAAAGCTTTTATTCACCGCTCAAGCCTGTTCCACCATCGGAAGATTCATTCTGATGAGAAACCTTTTAAGTGTCAGGAATGTGGAAAGGCCTTCGTAGTTCTGGCATACCTCATTCAGCATCAGAACATTCATTCTGGAGAGAAACCATTTGAATGTGGGCTGTGTGGGTCAGCCTTCAGATGTAAGTCCCAGCTCAATAAACATCAGAGAAGTCATACTGATGTGAAATTCTTTCAATGTATGGAAGATTGAACAGACATTGTTTGTGGAACAAAGCTTAGAATTCATCAGGGAATCCATACTGGTGAGAAGCCCATTCAGTGTAATGAATATGGGGAAGCTTTTTAATATCTTTACAAAATTCTTAGACATACTAGAATTCATACTGGCAAGAATTGTCATGAATGTAAAGAATGTGGGAAGTACTTTATGTTTGGCAGATACCTTAAAGTACGTCAAAGAATTTTCACTCACAAGAAACATTACCACTGTTAAGAATGTGGAAAGACTTTTAGTTGAATGTGAAACTTGTTTTGACATTCTAAAATATTAATAAGTTTTAAGATATAAAGAACATGGAAAGGCCTACAGTAATTCTAAGCCATCTGTATATCAGAGAAGTCCTACTGGAGAGAAAGCCTATGACTATAAGATGGGAAAATGTTTAGACTTAGTTCAGCTTTCATGCGCAGTGGCGAATTCATACTGATAGGAAACCCTATCAGTGTAAAGAAGTGGAAAGACCTTCAAATGTAGCTGGGGTCTTCTTTAACATAAAAAATGCATGCTTGTGTCAAACACTATGAGTGCAAACATTTCCAGAACTAGCTCGGCTCTTGAAGCTCATCAGAGAGTCCATCTAGGTCTGAGACCCTGTGAATGGGAAGACTCGGTAAAAACCTTTTATTGTAAATGGTGAGCTTACACAACATCAGAAAATCCACAATCACCAGGAGTCATGTGCATGCAAAGGAGGACAAGCCTCTGTATGAAAATGTTACTGAACGGCAGAGAACTCAATGGGAAGACTGTGACTTAAAAGAATGTGAGAACTTTAATCTGCCCCAAGATTTGGTAAACATCAGAATACTGTTTATGCCAAGAAACCATTTGGAATGAGAATTTGGGAAGTCAGTTGTTCAGAGCAGATACTCTGTTGAGAATGTCTCTTATCAGAAATCTAGGGAGAAAAGTCTCCTGACAACCTTTTCCCAGCATTCTAACAGTCAAATTGACTGAGTTTGTAGAGCCTGTCCCAGGATGTCCCAGAAGTTATTGGAAGAAAAGTTGTCCTGTCCTCCCTACGTGGTTAGGGCACAGAACACTGATAGTTACACTGTGAGCTGCTCCACATGAAGGACCTGACTCTGCCCTTTTTTCCAGTGGCAGCAACAACAAAGCTGTGATGGTTCTAATGTCTGGGAGAAAAGGTTGGATGCCTACAACTCAGAGTTCTTTCCTTTAAGGATTGAAGCTAGGTGTGATGGCTTTTGCCTCTAATTCCAGAATATAAGAGGCTGAGGTAGGAGGATTACCAGGCATTTAAGGCAAGCCCGGATTACATGTAATGAATTCCAGGGTATCCTGGAGAAGAAAAGCAAAATAAACAAAAACACAAGCCTAAAGGCTCAGGGATCTACAGACAAGAGGAGGCAGAAAGATTGGAAGAGCCAGAGGGGATGGGTCTTCAAGGAAATTGTGACTTCTAGACACAACAGATGGACATATGGACTCTCAGAGACTGTGCAGTATGCACAGGTCCAAGACAGACAGTCTCAACAATGGCGGTGGAGTGGACCATGGGCTCCCATCCCTAACCAGTGGACTATCTGTAATTGACACCTGCTAGCAAATAAAAAAATCTGTTTTCTCCAATGCTGTTTCACTGGGTGTATCAACCATACCTCAGGACCTAGGAGTAGCTGGCCAGCACAAAATAAACTTGGTGGTATTTTTGTGAACTTTTTGTTTTATTTTGCGTTGCTTTGACATTTTCGATTTTGTCTTACTGGTCTTTTGCTTGTGCATTTCTCCGTGCACACCACTCCCCACACAAACAGCAACACTACACACATGAAAAATGAAAAGATTAAAAAAGACAAGGGAATGAACAGCATTCAGTCAGTAAGTGATATTGGCACAGGCCATCCAGAACCTCATGAGATTTAAAGGGGGCTCAGTATTGATGGGGATGAAAGACAGCAACCCTAGCTATTTAATTACTATAGGCATGCATAACATTCATTACATTGAGGTCTGTCTTACTTAGGGTTTCATGTTGCTGTGAAAGGATTCAGTGACCACAGCAACTCTTTAAGTGGGGCTTGCTTACAGTTGTGAGGTTTAACCCATTATTTTGGGAAGCATAGCAGCATTCAGGTACACATGGTCCTAGAGAGTAGCTAAGAATTCTACATCTTGACCCAAGGCAGCAGGAAACAGCCTTGCTTGGCCTTCTAAAACCTACAAGCCCACCCCGTATAACACATTTCCCCCCACAAAGCTACACACACTTCACTCAGGCCACATCCCCAATAATGCCACTCCCTGAGTCGATGGGGGTGATTTTTATTCAAAGCACCAGAAGGTGTGACAATATTTAAAACATAAGATCTTGCCAGGTGGTGGTGCACACCTTGATTCTAGCACTCAGGAGGCCAGCCTGGTGGTCTACAGAGAAAGTTCCAGAACAAGGTCACACAGAGAAAACTTTGTTTCAAACAAAACAAAACCAAGCTACAATAATAAAACCCTGTATAAGAACATGACAGAACTGTGGAAATCAGTATGAAGAAGGGCAGCTCACTCAGTACAGATCTAGAAGAGAGTGGCTGTGAAGTGAGTATCAGGAAGGTGGAAGGGAATGGAGAGATTTCTTAACACATGGCTATTGTCACCTTCAGAAGCAGGACGGGAGAGCATTTGAGAAGAGATGCATCTCTGTGTGAGGGGATGAAGCTATGCACAACAGGAGGCAGAGACGGAGCTGAGACTGCAAATGGGCAGCAGCAGGGATTCGAGCTATTTGTAGCTAGTGAAACATTTATGGTGGACATTAATCTCTTTAGTTATGTATTCGGCTAGCCCAAATTCCACACAGCAGCTATACAGAAAAGGGGAACCCAATCATCTCATTTTTTTTCCCATGAGGGATATGGGGTAGCACTAAGAACTGTAACACAAAGATGGAGCAGACCAAAATTACACTGAAGAGAAAGGAGGACTGGTATACACTGGCATGACAGAAAACTAAGCGTGTTTATAAATGGTCCAAAATCCAGTGAAACAAAACCAAAGCTTTGCAGAAAGTCACTTGAGTCTGGCTGGGGACCCCTTGCCTACAGTGTCTACCTTAGTAATCAGCCTGTTGAATATCTTAAAATAGATGCAGTCTTTAATTTTTAAAAGTGCTGGTTTTATTTATTTATTTATTTATTTAAAAAGCATTAAAAAAGGAAGCTTTGAACAAATACCTCCAGATAATGAGCATTTCTGCCACAGGCATGTGTACAGGAGCCCCCTCCCTCCCAGTCACCCTTCCTGATTCCATTAAAGTTCAACTGTCTTCATTTTTATTCTCTTGCGTTCCGAGTTGATAATGCTGTCTACATCAGCTATGCTCTGTTGCTTTTCTGGATTTCTTCTCTCAGTTATTGAGACCGAAAACATTTGAATGTGATGCTGGATTTGGCTGTTATTCTTTACTGCTCCGGCAGGTTTTTCCCCTCTTGGTGTTATGAAGCCATGTTATTAGGCGTATACTCTGAGTTTATTTTAGTTTGTTTATTTGTCTTGGTTTTTGGAGACAGGGTTTCTCTGTGTAACCCTGGCTGTCCTGTAACTCACTCAGTAGACCAGTGTGGCCTCAAACTCAGACATTCTCCTGCCTCTGCCTGCCTAGGCTTTGGATTAAAGGCACATGCCACCATAATCTGAGTGTATTTCAATTCGTAGACAGAGTTTCACTGTGTAGTCCTCGGTGGCCTCTTCAGACATCTACCTGGCTGTGCCTCCCTACTGCTGGGATAAAAGGCGTGTGCTACCACACCCAGCCATGTTGATTGTCACTTGATGACTTGCCCTCTTTATTATCACTGGCAATGGTCTTTGGCCCAAAATCTGCCTGGACTTTAAAATCTTTAGTCTTTAGTCTTCTTTTGACTATGTGAGGATGGATGATCACTTTGAATCTGCTAATTATCTTTAACATTTTTCCTGTAGTAAACATAGGGCTGGGTCTGACCTATTTTTCAATCTAATGTGACAAATCTATACTTTAGCGTTTAGATAATTTACATTTTTTTCCTTCGGTTTTTCGAGACAGGGTTTCTCTGTATAGCCCTGGCTGTCCTGGAACTCACTCTGTAGACCAGGCTGGCCTAGAACTCAAAAATCCGCCTGCCTCTGCCTCCCAAGTGCTGGGATTAAAGCACGTGCCACCAACACCCGGCGATAATTTACATTTTAATGTGATTGTTTTCATTACTGGGATCATCTATTGTTTACTATCGGGGTCTGGAAAATTTGTGTAAAAACAAAAAAACCCATTAAAAGTGGTTTTGAAAGTTCAATAGTGTCATGTTACAATAAGTAGGGTTTTCTACAAACACGTGTATATTTTTGTTTAAGATACCTTTACGTGCTAGTCCACCCACTCATCGTCCAACATGAGGTAAATGACTCACTAATGGACACAGCTCTGTCGATACATTCCAATGTGTCCCTCGGTGTTTTCCCGTCTAGCTAACAAATGTTATGCTCTGACCCCCAGCCCCAGCATAGCTGTAGCCATTTTGTTCCATGCCTGCCAGCTATTTCATTTGTTGCTAGGATACGCCTGCCAGTCACTGACAAAGAGAAGTGACATGGCTCAAGCACACGTGGGTCATACACCCTGTTTTGTTCTGTATGAGGTTTGCTAATCTTAAGAAATTCCACAAAGCTTTTGTAGAACCCGTCGAATCAAGGGTAAATAGGAACTCTTACGTCTAAAATACAGAGTCAGAGCTGATCACCTGTGAGCTCACTGTGGTTTTTGTGGCTGACATAAAGTCAAAAAAGTTATAATATTCATGCGCTGATATCTCAATGTTCTGAAATTCAGTGTTCCGTTCACCACCCATCCAGCCCCCCCCCCCCGCCCTTACCTTACTCAGGCCCAATCAGCTTAAAGGTTAGCTGATAATATACTTCTTGGAAGCCAACTGCTCCCCTCCTTGCCCTTTAAACTTTTGAATCTGCTTTCTCATATAAAGATCCTACCCTGACTGAGAACAGACTAGTACGCAATTAGGCTCCCGATTCCTTTTTACAGTCCTGAACATCCAGCATTATGGTGTGCGTTCAATAAACTAGTCTTGCTTAACTGAGATTAGTGTGTATAAGGTTTGAGTGGCGACTTCCTGAACACAGGGACACTGAACCCTGGGAGGGTCCAGAACACCTGGCTGTCTGAAGTCGCTAATTTTTTTTTAAAGATTTATTTATTTATTTATTTTATTTATGAGTACACCGTAGCTGTCTTCAGACACGCCAGAAGAGGGTATCCAATCTCATTATGGATGGTTGTGAGCCACCATGTGGTTGCTGGGATTTGAACTCAGGACCTCTGGAAGAGCAGTCAGTGCTCTTAACCGCTGAGCCATCTCTCCAGCCCTGAAGTCGCTAATTTAAACTACCCATGTTTAAACCCAGCCATTCTTTAGTCTTTTCAAATTTACCATAGTCCCTACCAGAGCACAGTGAGGTTGAATACCCCTCCGTGAGACTCAGGCAAAGCATAATCAAGTCAGTTACTGCCCTCGTGTCCTATTCTGAACTTTAAAACTTGAGCTAGTCTGTCAGTTCCCCAGGAGAGAAAATCAGTTACTAGCTGAATCCGGAACTATTTTGATCACAGGAGGGAGCCTCCTCTTTAAACACCGGGCGTACCCCCTCCCGGTGGGAACTCTCACCAGCCACAGGCGGCGGCTCTCAGATGGGCTGGGCCAAGTTGCATGCTGGGATCTCCCTGGAGCCCTGGGCTTCTCGGGTCTCCCGTGACTAGGGCTGTATTTTTCAGGACCACCACGACGGAAGTAGTGGATAGGCTTTGGGTGTTCCGGTACCGCTAATGCGGGAAGTCTGATCTTTCTGGTCAGAGGAAGAAATCTCTAGTTGGCTTCAGTCTCCACGTAAGGCGGGAACTAGCCGGCTGGGTGTGGACGTGGACTGCGGTGTGGGGTGGCTGGATGTTGATCTGTGTGAGTGTGTGGTGCTGCTGGTGGGGCGTATGTGTGTGTGTGTGTGCGTGCGTGTGTGTGTGTGTGTGTGTGTGTGTGCGTGCGCGCGCGTCCGTCCGTCCGTCTGTATGTCTATGCACACCCTGAGCTGTCTACATTATCTGTGTCACCGTGCTTGTCGCTCTCTGCTCCTGCTTTCTTCCCCGGCCGCAGGGTCTGAAGCAGAGGACTAAGTTTCAGAAAGGAGAGCCTGCAGGGTAGCTTTCCCTGAGGTTCAGAGTTCAGCATGGGAGGAGTATTTCAGGCCGGAAGTGCCTCTAGGGTGGCTTAAGAGAACTGCTACTTGTTGAGCTCCACAACTTTCTCAGAGCCCAAGCCACGTGAGTGTTGAGGGAAGTGAAGGCAAGTGCTCCTTGAGGATGCTGTCAGCCCGGGATCGCATGCTTCCTCAGGATCCCTGCCTCGGCCGTTATTCCAAAGAGGGGCTGAAGTAGACCGAGAACTTTGCTGCAGACCTAAGACTCAAGAATGAGTTTGCTCTTTCTCTCTGTTTGAGAAGTGAGGTTTTTATTTTTAGATTATAGGATTGTTAGTAAATGAAGCAGGAACGAACATGCCAATTGATATCTCCACCATTGTGTCCGTTACGTTGTCCCTCCCCTTTCCAGCTAGTATTCATCACGTTATGGTTTCAGTGACCCTTGACATCTTCTCCCTACAGGCACTTCTTTTCCCGAACATGTTCTAGATAGGAACCTCCAGAGGTCAGCATTAGGGCTTTCAAATTCCCATTTGCTAAATTGATTCCTATTTCAATGGCATCCCACGTCAGATGGCCTTTGATCTTTACAGGCCTGTCTTTCAAAGCAGCAGAAGAGTGGAGGTGGTAGGAGATTTCTGTTCACGATTTCAGGAGGGAAAGTAATAGAAAATTCTCACTATTCTACCGGTCTATGACTGCCTACCACCCAGCCACATGCCCTGCTACTTGCCACCCGTCCTGGCTGCTCTCACGGTGTTCTCATGGTGACTCCCCTGGCGACTTGCTCTTAAAAGTCCTCTTCACCCTCTGTTTCTCTGTCCCTCTGCATGGGACCCCTGCCTGGGTTCAGAAGCTCTGCCTCCCGTCTCTGACCACCTACTGGCTAATCAGCTCTTTATTAACCCTGAGTTTTCAAAGGAGGTGCCATCTGGATGCTGTAAGCCCCTGTGAGCCTTGATATGTGGGATTCCAGTAGGAAGGTCTGCTCACAGTAGGAGGAGCAGCCCAGGTGCAGGGCTAGCTGGATGTCAGGGTGGAAGCTGGGTCCCTTGTGCTGGCATCTTCTGGAGGAAGTTCAAGGCAGACATGTTTAGCTCTGCACTCCCACGCTGACCCCTTTGCCATGGGTTGTCTGGGGTTAAGAGAGGATGGTCTTTGTGTAGACTCCTGTGTGCTTCTGATCTGTGTGTGGGAGGCTGTGAGCGGTGGGAGGGGAGAGAGTGAGTGTGGATGCTGGAGAAAGAAATGTAGTTGTTGAAATGACAGTGACAAAGTCATTCTGGGAACATCAAGTCACAATCAATGAAAGGCTTTCTTTTTGTCCCCAGGGGAGGAAGCCTGAAGAAGAATGGCCCCCTCCAATTCTCAACACATGGTCTGTGTAAGTTGTGTGTCTCTCCTTGACATAGGGGGACTTTCAGGTTAGGTGACTCCTTCTTGTCTTTTCCTCTTGAAGCTTCCCATGGATCCGGAATCCCCTCATCCCAGTCTGCCCCTTTACAGTGAGGGTTGGCAGGTCTGAGCACTTCCTGTCTGAGCCTCTTCCCAGCTGGTACTGGGCTGTCTTTGAATGCATTCCTGCACATGTGCTCTCTGCTTGGTCTGTGGTGAGGGAGGACTGTCACTGCAGCAGAGGTGTCAGTCTCACAGGGAAACAGGGGCTTTGGGGTTTCAGAGCTTTGAGGTGATGGTCTCATTGACTACACTGGGAAACCTGATTGACATCTGTGGTGCTGTCAGGCTGATGACCCAGGGTGTGAGAGTGAATGTCATCTGTGCATGTGTGTGACAAGGTGACCTGCTTGAGGAGGCTTTAGGAGAGCTCTCAATAATCAAAGGGAATGGGTCACACATAGTTTATGTATTCTTACAGAGATATAAAAACCATTCTCATGACAACACGTCTTTATATCATCTGATATGATAATAAACTCAAGCACTCACAGGATTCCTTGTGTAGTTTACCCCGACCCCAGTGACATGTCTCCTTTGTGGGGGATAACCTGAAGGATGTGGATGGAGTGGAGAGGCACAGTTACTGGATATGTAGGTGGGCACAGCCGTCGTTTATGGGGAGTTGTGCAGTCAGGTGCCTTCAGCATTTCCTTATGGCTCCCTTCCCACGCTTGAGTCCTTTCCCTTCTGTTTTTCCATCTTGAAAGCTTCCCCAATTTCACTCTCCCTGTGTTTGCTCTTTCAGGAGCCAGTGACATTTAGGGATGTGGCTGTTGACTTCTCTCAGGAGGAGTGGGCCTGCCTGGATGCTACTCAGAAGATCTTATACAGGGACATAATGTTGGAGACCTACAGCAACCTCGTCACAGTGGGTAAGGCCTGTGTCTCATGAATGGGGGATGTGTCCCATACACTGTGTTTTCCTCACTCAGAATGAAAAGACAGTATGGTCTTCCATAACTAGAATCAGAGGCTAGACAGGTAGCGTGGTGGTTTAGAGAACCAGCTGCTCTTGTAGAGGATGCAGGTTTAATTCTCAGCACCATAAGGGGGCTCACAACCGTGTATAGCTCCAGGTCCAGGGCGTCTGATGCCCTCTTCTGGCCTCCATGGGCCACCGTACTCACATGTGGTGCTCAGACATACATGCAGATATGTCCTCAGAGACACAAAAAATAAAATAGATTGTAATCAATAGAATTTTAAAAGAGATAGCTAAGCTCCTCCTCTCTAAAGGAATCATGGGAGATTTGTTGGGTTGAAAGTAGGAGCTTGGTGAAGTGCCTGCTTTTGCTCATCCCTTAGAGATTCTGTCAGCGAGCTCTAAGTTTAATGAGAGACCTTGTCTCATGAAATTAAACAGAGATCACTCAAAAAAGACACCTAACCTGTACATAGGTTAGTCTCTGGTCTGTACACACATGTATAGAAGCATACCCACACACACTTGTGCACACTCCCTGATGAACACAAGATTACACCATACATGCACATCCGCAACGAAATAAATGAGCTGTTGATGATTTACCTAATAAAGAGTCACTTTAAGCGTTGTAGAAGAAGTTTCACGATAGGTTGTCTTTTTCATCGAGCAGACTGTAAGAAGGAGCTGTAAATATGCAGTGAGGAAGCACAGGGTTTTAACTGTAGGGACTTTCATCAGGAGGGATCCAGTTCCCAGCATGCTCAGGGCCTGCATGCCACACCCAGCATTACTAAACGAATACATGACTTTCTGTTTCTGTAGGTTAGCCAGTATTCAAAATATTTGAGTATAGTATTTCATCTTAATACGGACTCTGTCTGATAGCTAGCAACACAATCTAAATCATAAGTTATAATTGTCATTATTACTCTTTTATTATTTGGATGTTTTTCTTTTTCTTGTTGTGGTGGTTGTGGTTGATTTTCTCATTGTTTTGGAGTTGTTTCTTTGTTTTTTTTTTTGGTTGTTGTTGTTGTGGGCAGTTTTGTTTTTGTTTGTAGTGGTGGTGTTTTGTTCGTGTGTTTGGGAGGGCCAGGTCTCAGGGAGTCCCATCTAGCTTTGAACTTGCTTTGTAACTAAAGCCGACCTTGAACTTCTTGTCTGCCTGCTTACATGCCTCAGGTGGAGTGAGTTCAAGTGTGCACCACCGTGTCCAGTGTTTAGGTGGGTAAGTTGAACAGAGAATCCTACGGGACTCACCTAAATAAATGACATTCTTAGTGAGCTGCAGAGATGGGCTTTACACTAGACAGTATTGCCAAAGGGTTCATGTTCTCACTACTCAGCTATGCTTTCCTTTTCAGTGACAAGCCCCTATCTGCCTTTAAAGGAGATTAAAACCCTGTTTTGAAACAGTTGATTTCTTACCCAGGTTGCTTTTTCCTCTTTCTCTCAAGTTTTTCCACAGCATTATTTTGGCTTTTAGAATTTTTTTATAATCTGTTTTTCTGAAACAAAGGTGTTGCTCTGTAGCTGAGATAGCCTGGCTCATTCCCCCCATGCTGGGCTCACAGGTATGATTTACAGTGGCAAGATAGACCTTTATAATAAATAAGTCTGTGTTTTTAAAATCTACACAGGCAGGGAATGGTGGCACATACCTTCAGTCCCTACATTTGGGAGGCAGAGGCAGGCAGATCAGGTAAATTCAAAGCCTGCTGGGTCTACTTACCGTGTTCTAAGACATCTTGGTATTATTAGATTGAGTGTCAATAAACAAACAAATAAGTGTATATACTATGAACCATCTCTTTCTTTCTTTTAAGTGGGAAGTTGCATTTCCAAGCCAGATCTGATCACCTTACTAGAGCAGGAGAAAGAGCCCTGGATGGCTGTGAAGGAAGAAACAGACAGGCTGAGCCCAGGTGAGTAAGAGTGAGGTGAGCCTGCAGCCCTGCCAGGCACTGCATGTGGTCAGAGAGGCTCCACAGAGCTGACACTGGATGTGGCAAACTTCCTTCAAAGCCCCAGGGCCTGTGGGAAAGAAGCCTGAGCCCTGGGAAGGAAGTCAAGGTCAGAGCAGAAGCTGTCAGAGGGGCTGCTGTGTCATGAGTCACTTTAAGTTCTCTTTTTCTTCCTCCCACTGGAGCAGGTGCCTCTCTGTATCCTTTACAAGTATCTCATTAGTGGTTGTGTGTGCACACATGTGTGCAGGTATCCACAGAGGCCATAGAGAGGGTCAGCTCCCTGGGCTGGAGTCACAGGTGGCTGCTGGTACTCTAACCCAGGGCCCCTGGCAGAGCTGTCAGTGTTATTGACACTGAACCAAAGCTAGGACAGTTTCAGCCGCAGTGAAAGCTGTACCACAGGGAGGCATGGCAAATGCTTCAGTTCTGTGTCCTCACGGTCCCCGTCGACAGGGTGTGATGGTGTGTCCTCTCTGCAGCACTGGGGAGGTGGCAGAGGCAGATCCCTTGGGCTTGCTGGCAAGTCAGCCTCGTGTCCCTGTGCAGCTCCAGCAAATGAGGGAGCCTGACTCAGAACAGATGGACAAGCCAGTGAGACATCTGAGTGCATACAGCACAGCCGTCTACCTGGCTTGACAGGGAGCGGTGATGGCTCTTCTTGGTTGGTAAATTGACCATGTCTGGAATTAATAGAACCCAAGCAGCTGGGTACACCTGTGAGAGATTTTTCTCAATTAAATCATTCGATATTGGGAGACCCACTTGTTGTGTCTTCACTGTACATCCTGACCAGTTTCCCTTTCCTCCTCTCCATCCGGTCCTTCTTTCTGCCTCCTCACCCCTCAGCCACCCTGCTTCCATTTCGCTTCAGAAAAGAGTCGGCCTCAGTTAATATCCACCAGCCATGGCATGTGATGTTGCAGTAAGACTAGACACCTCCTCTCCTAGGCTAGACAAGGCAACCCAGTAAGGTGAATGGGTCCCAAAGGCAGGCAACAGAGTCAGAGACAACCCCCGTCCCACTTCTAGGAGTCCCACAAGAAGATTAAGCCATACAACTGTAACGCATGTGCAGAGGGCCTAGGTTATTAGGCCCATGCAGGCTTCCTGGTTGGTGGTTTAGTCTCTGTGAGCCCCTGTGAGCTCAGGTTGGTTGATTCTGTATGTTTTCTTATGCTGTCCTTGACCTCTCTGGTCCCCACAATCTTCACAATCCTTCCTCCTCCTCTTCCTCGGGATTCCCCAAGCTCTAGCCAATGTTTGGCTATGGGTCTGTGCATCTTTTTCTATTAATTGCTGGGTGAGACATCTTTGATGTAGCAGAATATCATTAGGAATCATTTCATTCACCCTTCCTTCTCTCCTTCTTTCCTTCCTTCCTTCTCTCCTTCTTTCCTTTCTTCCTTCCTTCTTCCCTTCCTTCCTTCCTTCTCTCCTTTCTTCCTTCCTTCCCTCTTTGGTTCTATCTCGAGTCTCTGGACTATCCAGCCCCTGGCTCCTGGAGTTTGGGAAAGTGTCAGGGGTGGGCTCCCTCTCATGACATAGGTCTCAAATTGGAACAGTCATTGGTTGGGCACTCCCACAATTTCTGTGCCACCTTTACCCCAGCATGTCTTGTAGACAGGATAAATTTTAAGTCAGGGGTTTTGTGGCTGGGTTGGTGTCCAATCCCTCCACTGGAAGACTTGCCTGGTTACAGAAGATGGCCGTTTAAGGCTTCGTATCCCCCACTGCTAGGAGTCTTAGCTGGGGTCACTCTCACTGATTCCTGGGAGTTATCATTGCCTTGGGTTTCTAGCTCATCCCAGAGATGCCCCCCACCCATTCTAGTTGTCTCTCCCACTCTCCTCACACCTGACTCCCTCCTGTTCTCATCCCAGTTCCCATCCCTACTCCACTCCTATCTTGTCCCCTCTCCCCATCCACCCATGATGTCTATTCTGTTTTCCCTTCTCAGTGAGATTCGTGTGTCCCTCCCTTGAGCCCTACTTCTTACTTAGCGTCCTTGGGTCTGTGAGTTGTAGCATAGTTATCTATTACTTTGTGGCTAGCATCCACCTGTAAGGGAGCACAGACCATGTCTGTCCTCTGGGTCTGGATTACCTCACCCAGTATGATCTTTTCTTGTTCCGTGCATTTCCAGAAAAAAAAAATTTTAAGACATCGTTGTATTTATAATAGCTGAGTAGTATTCCATTGTGTAACTATAGCGCATTAAAAAAAAAATTCCTTCTTCAGTTGAGATATAGCTAAGTTGTTTCCACTTTCTAGCTATTATGAGTAAAGCTGCTATGAACAGGACTGAGCAAGGGTCTTTGTGGGTTGGTGAGCATCTTTTGGGTATATGCCCAAGAGTTGTATAGCTGGGTGTTGAGGTAGATTGATTGCCAATTTTCTACGATATCACCATTTAATTTCCAAAGTGTCTTTCAAGTTTGGACTTCTACCAGCAATGGGGGAGTGTTCCCCTCATTCCACATCCTCACCAGAATAAGCTGTCATTTGTTCCGTTCTGACAGGTGTGAGGGGGAATTTCAGGGTTGTTCTGATTTGCATTTCCCTGATGGCTAAGGATGCTGAACATTTCTTTAGGTGCTTCTTGGCCATTTGAGTTTCCACAGTTGAGAATTATTTGTTTGGCTCTGTACCCCATTTTTAATAGGGTAATTTGGTTGTCTGGAGTCTAATTTCTTGAGTTCTTTGTATATATTGGATATCAGTCCTCTATCGGATGTGAGATTGGTAAAGATCTTTTCCCAATCTATTGGTTGCCGTTTTGTCCTATTGACAGTATCCTTTGCCTTAAAGAAACTTTGCAATTTTATGAGGTCCCATTTGTCAATTCTTGATCTTAGAGCACAAGCCATTGGAGTTCTGTTCAGGAACTTTCTCCCTGTGACCAAGTATTCGAGGTTCTTCCCCACCTTCTCTTCCATTAGTTTCAGTGTATCTGGTTTTATGTGGAGGTCCTTTATCCACTTAGACTTGAGCTTTGTACAGGAGATAAGAATGGATCAATTTGCATTCTTCTACATGCTGAACCAGCACCATTTGTTGAAAATGCTGTCCTTTTTCCACTGGATGGTTTTAGATCCTTTGTCAAAGATCAAGTGACCATAGGTATGTGGGTTCATTTCTGGCTCTTCAATTCTATTCCATTGATTTTCCTGCCTGTCTCTGTACCAATACCATGTAGTTTTTATCACTATTGCTCTGTAGTACAGCTTTAGGTCAGGGATGGTGATTCCCCCAGAAGTTCTTTTATTGTTGAGAATAGTTTTCACTATCCTGGATTTTTTTTTTTATTCCAATGAATTTCCAAATTGCTCTTTCTATCTCTATAAAGAATTGAGTTGAAATTTTGATCGGGATTGCATTGAATCTATAGATTGCTTTCGGCAAGATGGCCATACAGGTGTGTTGTCAAGCTGATAGGGTATGCTCTCTCCATTTTCTTTTTGTAGGCACTTAGAGATATGAGTTTTCCTCTTAGCACTGCTTTCATTGTGTCCCTTAAGTTTTGGTATGATGTATGTGCCTTCATTTTATTTTTTCTTGTTTTGTTTTGTTTTGTTTTGTCTTGTCTTGTTTTGGTTTGTTTTGGTTTGGTTTGGTTTGGTTTGGTTTGGTTTGGTTTGGTTTTCTGAGACAGGGTTTCTCTGTGTAGCCCTGGCTGTCCTGGAACTCACTCTGTAGACCAGGCTGGCCTCGAACTCAGAAATCTGCCTGCCTCTGCCTCCCAAATGCTGGGATTAAAGGCGTGTGCCACCACCGCCTGGCCCTTCATTTTCATTAAATTCTAAAAAGTTTTTAATTTCTGTCGTCATTTCTTCCTTAACCAAGTTATCATTGAGTAGGGTGTTATTCAGTTTCCACGTGTATGTGGACTTTCCATTGTTTTTGTCATTATTAAAGACCAGCCTTAGTCCGTGGTGACCTGGTAGGATGCAAGGGATGATTTCAGTCTTTTTGTATCTGTAGAGGCCTGTTTTGTGACCAATTATATGGTCTATTTTGGAGAAGGTACCATGAGGTGCTGAGAAAAAGGTATATTCTTTTGTTTTAGGATGAAATGTTCTATAGATATCTGTTAAATCAATTTGGTTCACAACTGTTTGTTTCACTGTCTCTGTTTAGTTTCTGTTTCCATGATCTATCCATTTCTGAGAGTGCAGTGTTGAAGTCCCCCACTATTATTGTGAAAGGTGTAATGTGTGCTTTGCGTTTTAATAAGGTTTCTTTTATGTGGGTGCCCTTGCATTTGGAGCATTTTTTTTTTCCTGGTTGACTTTTAATGACTTTTTCTATTTTCTTAAGATAAGCAATCACATTGATTGTTTCTCTGATCTTGTTTTAACTTTGGTAAGTGGCTTTTAATGGAGAAAATTGTCCATTTTGTTTAGATTTTCCGGTTTTGTGGATTCAGGCTTTTCAAGTAAGACCTAATGATTCTTTGACTTCCTCAGTGTCTGTTGTTATGTCTCCCTGTTCGCTTCAAAATTTGTTTTTGTTTTGTTTTGGTTTGGTTTGGTTTTTCTATACAGGGTTTCTCTGTGTAGCCCTGGCTGTTCTGGAACTTCAAAATTTGTTAATTTGGATATTCTTTTGCTTTTTATTTAGTTTAGATAAGAATTTGTCAATCTTGTTGATTTTTCTCAAAGAACCAATTCTTTGTATTGTTCTTTGTTTCTATTTTATTTATTTCAGCCCTGATTTGGATTATTTCCTGCCATCTACTCCTCTTGGGTGTGTTTGTTTCTTTTTCTTCTAGAGCTTTCAGGCTTACTGTTAAGTCATTAGTGTAAGATCTCTCCAACTTCTTTCTCTCTCTCTATCTTTCTTTCTTTCTTTCTTTCTTTCTTTGGTTTTTCGAGACAGGGTTTCTCTGTGTAGCCCTGGCTGTCCTGGAACTCACTCTGTAGACCAGGCTGGCCTCGATCTCAGAAATCCGCCTGCCT